AATTATATAAAATAAATTCAAAACAGCAAATTGTCAAAAAAAAAACCGAGTAAAAAATTGCACAAGAAATTGCAAAAAAAAAAAAATACTCGAATTTTAGTGTTAAAAACAGGCAAATTTTGCTATGAATTGTTTAAAAAACATGAAATTTAATCTGTTTCTAATTATCTTGTTATCTAAAGATCAAATTGTTTCTTTTATATTTTTTAATATCTTAATACCAAACCGACTTTCTTAACTAATATAATAATTATTAAGGTTGCCAGCAAGTCTGTAACTCCCAGCAGGCAAGGTTGGAGATCCTATAAAGTATATATACAATCAGCGCGACAATTTGATTTAATTAAACCCAGTTCTTCCACCTGTCAATTTATCCGACTGTCTGTATATATACTTGATTTTTTTTAATTGTTTTTTAGCTTTCGAGTTATCGATCTGATATGGGTGTTTGTGGTTAGTCTGTGACAAGGTATCTTCAAGAAATTTGGCATGAATTATTATTCAAAGTAAGCGTATAATATCCGAACAATTTATCCATTTCGAGGTTCCCTCCTTTTTTTTTTAAAGAAAAAACACAGAAACTTCAAATTTAATGGAGAATGTTTATTATCATTCAAAAAAATATTCTTTGGCAACTGTTTTTAGAAAATTATCTCTTTCAAATGTTCGTCATGGCTACGTTTCAGATGATCTATCCAGAGAGTACACCTTTTCATTTCGACTGGTAACTGGCACGTATGCTTTACTTCAACGCCTGAGTCGAAGCGTGGTTGTTCGCATAGACTTTAGACTTTTCATAGCGCCGCAGGAAAAAGTATAACGATCTTGGTGACCAATCGTTCGGCCAAAAACGTGAAATTATCTGCTCGCTAAAGTATTCTCGCAAATAAAGTCATTAATTGGTGCGATGTGTGGGAAGTGGCGCCATCTTTTTGAAATCAAATGTCGCCGAGATCACGAGCTTCAATTTCAGACAACAAATAGTCGGTTATCATGGCACGATACGGGCGCCATTGGCGATTACGTTCTCACCGGCATCATTTTTGAAGAAATATGCACCGATGACTCCACTGACCCACAAACCACATCAAGCTGTTCTTTTTTTGCTTTGAATTTCTTCAGTTGCTATTCGTCCCAAATGCGGCAATTTTACTTGTTTGCATAGAGCCTGAATAGGACCTCAATAGACCGATTATGTTGACGATACAAATTCTTTACAGAACGTGAATTTTCGTAATAATATTGAATGCTTTGTAGAAATTGTTCAGGCGTAATTCTTTCCATAATTAAATACTAAACAATTCTTTAAAAATTAGTTTAATTTTCTTCGATTTATTTTACTTCTTTCGGAAGACACTAAGTATATCGTAGTAGGTTATTAAATTTATTTTCTAGCCATTTATAGTGCGTGACTTTGCTAAGCGTGGTTCTTAACCCAAACGTGTAGATATTTTGCTACACCAGTTATTGCATTTGAATTTTTAAAGACTTTATTTGAGCTAGTAATTTTGTGGGGTATGCTGTGCAAATGTTCCTGAACGATAGTGGACTAAGTATATCGTAGTATGTCATGAAATATGTTCTCTAATAATTTTTGGTACTTGACTTTGCTTGGCATGGTTTTTAAGCAAAAAATGTAGAACTTGCTGCACTTTTTAAAACTTTTATTATGACTGGTAATTTGGTTGGATATGCTGTGAAAATATTTCGGCTTGATATATGTTTTTTTGAGTATAATGAAAACTAATAGCGTTGTGGCTTAGAGATATTTTTCTCAAATTTTTCTTAAAAATATTGAACATAAGAGCTTACTGATCGTGCAGTGTAGATCAAACCTCCATTTAGAGATGGCAAATGAATCTTTATACAATGGATTTATACTTACGTCTTGCTTGCAACATTAGTCAAAGCCACAATAAGGAGCCACAGCATCGGTAATGGCAAACACTTTTCTTATTGGCAACTTTTTCCACTGCGATAAACATTCACAATAGCAACAGATCCGGCCAGACTGCCACACGACACCGGTGACCGCGACCGCGGCGAAACCGAGACCGAGACCGGGACGCGCATTGATAAATCCATTAAAAAAATTTCTCTGCTGCTATGCGGCAGTTTGCGTTGCTGTTGTTGCTGTCGTTGATGATGTTGCATGTTGATGTTGTTGCCGTCGATTTAGCAAGTGACTTGTGTCTCGGTCTTGTTGTCGTTGCTGCGATAGCGCGTAGCGATGCAGAAAAATGCTAACCACTTTCCGTTCACCATTCACTTACGTACATACATATATCGATTTGTGTGGACAAGCGTGAAAGCAGCAGCAACAACAACAACAATAACAACAACGGCAAACATAAGTAATACAAGTCATAACAAAAGCAACAGCAACAAGGTAGCTGCCACAGTGCAGTAACAGTAAAAATTCCGGCAAATTAATAACAACAATAACAACAACATTAGCACCGCAAAGCAAAAACATAAAAAACAAAACACAAATAAATCGAATTTATCGCAAAGCAATGCGGAATAGCCCAAGCAAAAGGAAGAAAGCAAGAAGCGCGAAATTAAGTGTACGTAAATGTGTGTGTGTGTGTGTAAGTGTATGTGTGTAGCCACTTGATTGCGAGAAATTTGCAGAAAGCGAAAAAAATCGCCAATTCGCCGTACAAACCGCGACTGATTTGCAAGGGCAGCGGAGCGGTGGAAACGGAAAGAAATTGAATTAAATTATGTAAAATGAATTGAAATTGCAATAAAATTAAATGAAGTGGCAAGAAATCAATTTAATTTTAATTAAAAATCAGAAAAAACCTAAATAGTGAACGAAGCCAAAGGGTATAGGAAATAAAAAAATTTTCTGTATAGAAACTTGATTCAGATCGTTCAGTTTGTATGACACCTATAAGTTATAGTAGTCCGATGTAAAAAATTTCTTAAGAGATTGGTCCATTGTTTTCGGAAATAATGCGAGTAAAATTTCGTGAAGATATCTTTACAAATAAAAAGTTGTCTATGCAGAAGCTTGACCCGGATTGTTCCGTTTATATGGCAGCTTTATGCTATAGCTGTGAGTTTTAAGCGATTCCGACAAATGTCCAGCTTCTTATCGAAACAAGGATATATGCAAACTTTCAGATCGATATCTCAAAAACCGAGGGTTTATTTGACATATGTAATGACGGGCATAGCCAAATGAACTGAGCTCGTCACACCGGTAATTTATGGGTTCTCCGATGTTTTCTTCTAGATGTTGCAAAATTCGTGACAAACTTAGTATTTCCTCCGCAGATTATAATCAAATATGACAAAAGATATGCAAGAAATCGATTTTAACACTCTAGCTGTGAACTTTACGGTTCAGAGATCGCTGGAAGCTGGGTACGAGACAAAAAGCTGAGAGCTTTTCTTTCATTCGAGCCTTCCGAGCCTTAAGAAATGCGCAATATTTGAAATGTGACGTACATACTTGGAAATTATCATTAATGCGTCACTAGCAGGCTTAAAGGGTGATTCTGTGTGCAATTTTATAGGTTAGTGTTTTATTTGTAAGCTTTGGAATACATCAACGGATCCATCGACATACTTCACGAGTTATATTTAAGTTTCAGTGCCGTTTGACTCTGATAAGCTCGAAGGTTGGATGTCATATACGACGAAATTTGGTTAAACCACACTAAAACCCTCACCAATAGGGTGATCTAGATATGAGTGGGTTCTTTGAGGTATTGTTGATGTGACGGCGCTTTTAGTAACCAATACATATGCTATTTCAGGTTATGAGGTCGAACTTAATACTGATCTCACTTGGACAGTTTAGAACGCCGGTCCGTTGTGTTACCTAAAACTCTTATATAATAGATCATAAGATCCTAAGAAATCGTTAAAGTACTTTGAGCATATCACAACATGAATAGAGAGGTATCATGTCAAAAATACCCACATATTATTTATACTTAAAATCTATAGTAAATTCATATCGATCCAAATTTCTATAACTTCTCTGATTTTTGAAGGCCAAAGCCACTTTATACATTGCCGATGCACCGACGGACAAAGCTATCAATATTCATTTCGATAATTATAATGACCAAAGCCACTTTAAACAAATAATATTGAGCCTTATTTTGATAGATTTATCCATAATAATTTCGCCAATTTTTTAGATAAAGGCTTTGCCGAAGCACCAACAGACAAAGTTAACGATTCTCATTTCGATAAATTTATCGATCATCATTTCGAGAAATTTTAACTACCAAAGAACCTAAATATAAATGGAATTTCTTCACCAAAACTCCATTAGACAAAGTTATCGAAAGTAATTTCGATATTTTTTTGATGACCAAAGTTACTGTGTTAAAATAGTATGATTTCGTCGAAGCTGCAACAGACAAAGTTACAGTTCATCATTCTATAAATTTATCGACATGCGTTTCGATAATTTTAGATGACCAAAACTCCTATGTACAAATAGTATGGTTTCGCTGAAGAACAAACAAAACCTGTCTATTCTCAATTCGATAAATTTATCGATATTCATTTCGATAC